GAGGGCTTCGTTCTTTTTCTTTCTTCCTTTTTATCACTTTTCCCTCACAACGAAATATCAGTATCAAACAAGTTACGATAAAAATATATAATAACACATTTTCGTTTGATAATTATTTACATCATCACCAATTATGTCTATACATTAGACATACTATTCAATTCATGCCTATGATGAGAAGGGCATGTGAGATGCCTGATACGAGAAGAAGGGAAAACGACCAAGAGTACTTGATTGTTATGCCTTGAGAATATGTCACAGAAATTTACCGATGTAAATAATTATAAGTATAAAAGATATCGAAATAACACGATGATACAAATCAATGAATTTAGTTAAGGTTTTGTTCGAACTGAGCATTGCGAGAGAAAATTTTGATCGTCTTCTTACAGATAAAGATCGATTTCATTGATCTTTGTTCTTTGCAAGAGATAAGATCAGATTTAGAAAATAGTCGAAGAAAGAGAAGCAAACTGGAGCGGAAAAGGGATTAAATTCGCTTTCATTTGATGACGGATTATGAGGAAGTAAACCACGGAGTATCTTATTAGAAAGAAATTTACATCAGATGATTTCTGTGAAAATTTATATTCATAATTTTAATCTCTCATGGTACTCGATGATTGATGACGAGGGGAAGAAGAGAGAGAGAGAGAAAATCTTCTCTATCAGTAGAAGAAAGAGAGAAGAAATTAGTTCACTATCGAAAAGAAAATTTTATTATTCAATTAAGCAAATGCATCGAATACTTGGCTAGAGTGATGGATTACGTTATAAGCACAACGGTCAGTCATTTCATCTTCTTCGATGTCCATCAGATGATCCCTCACGGGAAATCATTTCAATGATCAAAACTAAGGAAAAAAGAGATATAGTGTCTTCGCGGACAAGCATATCAGAAGTGACTACGCGGTTAGTCATCAGCAAACTTCAAAAGATGATGAACAGAGCAAGAGGAGAGAGAGAGAGAGAGAGAGAGAAAAATCGATTGCTAATGATAAGAGAAACAGATGTTAGTCAATTAGATGAATTTCATTTCGATAAGTGTATTTCATTTGCAAGACTTCGTTTGCATATCACCTGCGTCTTTAGCTGTATTAACGAAACCATGCAAATGTTTTTGTTTTATTTACTAAAAGTATTTGTATAAACGTATTTAACCTTAGATCTAAACATCTGCTCAACAATTCATCATTGAAATGGATCATAATGATGAACATAATCATTTGAAATGACATTGGAATGTGATTAGCTTGAGATAAGGTCTTTTCTTCTTCATTATTTTCGTTTATTTGAACGTCAAGAATATTTTTTATCAAATAAATGTCTGATTCTTAAACAATGCGTTCGCCGAATTGACGATCGACTCCATACTTACGATAAGCGTAAATGAATGGTGCCGCATGAGGATTAATTTGTAATCATCTACATATTTATCGAAAAAGAAAATGAAGCGAAAGAAACCAAGCAAAATTCTATTTAATTCAAATAAGAAAAACGAGTCTTCCCCCAATGTGACAGATGTCAATAACTCATTTATATTCGCAACATGATCTTTTGTCCATCTGTGAGGACATTTCTTTCTCAATAATAGAATCTTCTTTCTCCATGGGTGCTCGTTGAATATAGAGAGAAAAAATCAATTACGACGTGTTACTCCGGCAATCCGGATGCGAATTCATTTCTTATCAACATCATCAAAGTCGTTAAGTGCTTTCCTTGACCACCGTCCAATTTTCAACCGACGACATGAATTGAGAAGAGAATCAAAAAAAAAAGTCATTCCGCACGCACACAGCAGCAAGTAAAGCTACCCGGCTGTGAAATACGAGAACATTCATATCCGGCGGCATTTGTCTACTGAAGAGATCTAGTTGTTCGATGATTGTCTGGACAATAGAAAGAAAATCATGTCAATTTCGATGAGAGACTTGTACAAAAAGAAAAAAAAAGAAAAGAAAAAACAACATAGCCAAGCAAATATTACACAGAGATATACGTATACAAGACAACAATGAACGAATGAGTTTGTGTTTGTGAGTGTATGAGTTCTTTGTTTTCTTCTATGTTGTACAACGAACACTGTTCAAAGACGAATTGCACGAATGGTAATATAAGGAAAATGTCCGTGTCTGGATACTCTCTCATATTCGATATCAAAAACTGATGTTAGAAAGAGAACCTGAGTAAGCAGGGCACGAAAAAGAACAGAAAGAGAGAGAGAGAGACAATAAGAAACAACGAAGTAGAAAAATACGAGAGACTAGAAAGGTGAAATAGAATGGCTATTTATGCATGTATATATAATTGTAAATAAAGAAAAAAGAAAACGGAAAAAACTTTATTTATTTGTTTGGTTCATTTGTTGCTTCTAATTGTTTTGCATCATATATCGAAGAATTGTAAATAAAAGCACGATAACCATAGATGTTGAGAAGTTCTGTACAAGTCTTTGTGCTGAACCACCAAGTGAATTTGATCGTGCTTGACTTGCATCTTTAACAATATGGATCTTTTGCGCAGCTTTTTGTTCGTTACCGATGGAGAGTTTGGCGATAAAACCACCATTTAATAATTGTTGATAGTAATTGTCGGCAACAACTTTAGCTTGTGGTGTTGCATCGGTTGGCGCACCCGGCGCTCGTGTTGTTGTCGTTAGCGGGATAGCAATTAATTTGTCACGTTCAAATGTTACAATACTTTTATATTTACCGTGATGTTCATCGATTTCTTTGATAGTTATACCTGCATCTGTCGTAATCGATTTGTCATCAGTTTGCCGAACCCATGTTAATGTCGGTTTGGGATTGCCAGCATATGAGCATTCAATAGTCGACTTCTCTTTCGATGAGTTAACAGTTTGTTTATCACTACACGTTAGAAAACGTGGAGTGAATATAACTTCGAGTACTTTTATTGCATGTTGTTCATGATTACCTAGTAAATAAATAAGAAAAGAAAATGTCATTCGATTGTTTTACGATTGATGAGCTTTCTCATGAAAACAAACCTTGAGTTACAGTACAACGTAGTGTTGTATTGTGCCAGTCGGCGGTTGGTGTAACTGAGTCTTCCCAAGAAAATACTTGCGGAAATGTGTTGGTCGTTGGAAGCGTAGCTTTGCCTTTACTAGTAATGTCGTGATGGTTACGAAGAATCTTATGACTGACATAAGGATAGAAATGATCAGCCGTACACTTAATTGTTGTTGTGGCATGTTCTTGTATCGGCCAGCCAGGCTCAACAAGCCATTTGGGGTCCGATGTCTGAACAACTTGAAAATCTTTTGCTTGTTTGCCTAAGCTTTCTTCACAATCGGGACAATTGCATTCGTATCGGGCAGTATCCTCGTTTAGAATTTGTCGAATGCGTAGATGATTCTTTTTAACATACTCCAATCGATTTTGTTTGATCTGTTTGAAATAATCTAAACTATCTTCAGTTGGTCGATTCAACAAGGAACGTGAGATGGGCGTATGTTTGCCAGTTTTCAAATCGACATGCCATAATTGAGGAGATTCAGTATGATCAGTTGGATTAATTAATTCACAAAGAATTTCAACTTGATTACCACTTTTATAATATCTTTCATCGGGAGTAAAGGTTAATTTCAGTGTGGGTTTCGATGATTGAATAGAAGGAATGAGAAGAGTTACAAAGATAATCGCGATAGAAAACATTCTATATGTTTGATCTAAGATAAATAATGTTCAGTTAGATTTTTTTTAATTGATCTTACCATTTACTTATGTAAAAAAAACAACAGGGAATTCTCTTTGATAGAAAAGGGCATATGCGCATGTATGTATTAGACATACATAGAGATATATACATATAGATATATGGCGGAGAGTGATGTGAAGCATTTACGGATTAATTTACGGTCGGGTAACTCATCTGTGGAAGAAAAAAATGAATCTATCTATAATTTTCGCCCCATCGACTGTATCTAATCTGCGAATCTGTGAAGAAGAAAAAAATCAATCCTAAAATCTTGGCATTCTCCCAAGAAAAATAGAATATGACATTGCATACCAATATTACAATTATGATTCTTCTTGTTGTGCTTATTTTAACTAATATCTGTTGATCGTTTCTCTAACTCCACAAATCAGCATTGTTTTGTGCGCACTGCAGTTGTTGTTGTTGTTGTTAGAAGCGACAAATAACTCAGATCGTACGAAGATTTTTTCTCTATATATTTTTTCTCTTTGTCTCTCTCTCTCTCTCTTGTTCTTCTTCCGACTTCCGCGTAAGTAGTTGAATAGCCAAATGATGGTGATGACGAGAGAGAGAGTGTGTGTGTGTTCGTATCTTTTTTTCTCTTACTCTCTTTTTTTTCGACTCTCTTCTCCTCTTTCCCTCCCTCGCTCGCTCTCTCTCTCCCTCGCTGTCTTTATGCAATGAGCGCGCACGCACGTCCTCGGTCAAGTGCTCATAGAAAAAAGGACTATCCTAACTAGAAGAAAAAGAATATGTAGAAAGAAAAAACGGGAATATTTCACCATCCGTCTATCCACCGGAAGCATGAAGAAAATGGACACCTGCTTACATTTGGAAATTCAATTGATTTTCTAAGGAAAAAACTTCCCTCCTTC